CGTTTCTATTAATCCGTGCATCTCCATGTGGTCTTGGGCTTACCGGGCAATGCCTGGCGTCCTGTCTTCCCGGTAGCTACATGGCATCTCTCTAGCCTCACTCTCTCTGTTCCTCTGACTATGGTTCTCCTAGCCTGGGAGCCCCTGCGTAGCGGCATCCTGCCTGTCCATTGGCCCAAACAGCTTTATTTGTCAACCAATAAGAGAAACATACATTCATGGGATACAGGACACCCCCTACCTGGGGCACACTGAAGGGAGGACCCCGTATATCGCGTGTGCGTTCCAGTCGCCAGGAAGGAGGAAGACAGGGGACACCTCTCCTGCCTTTTGTAAGAAGCTCTGCATAGTCACGTGGCCATGCATAGCAGAGAATGGGGTTGGGACGAGGCAGGCTTCATCTGGGATGATCATGTGCCTAACAGTTTGAGAAAGAACAGCTGGTGTTGGGAGGCCGCTGGCAGGCTTGTGCCGGAGCCAGAATGGCTAAAACATAGTAAGCGAGAGGTGGGGGGTGAGGCTGGGCTATACTGCCGGGCCAGGTCTGGGCAGGCGTCGTAAGCCGTGGGGTGTTTTGGGGCTCCAGCTGGGGAGTGAGAATCCAGAGAGTCCTTTTAGAAACGGCACCACCACACGTATGGTTTTGAAATCTTTGTTTTCTTTTCACCTTCTCTCGGGGTTTTGGTTTAGCCCCTAGGACACACTGTGCTCTTCTGCACACTAACCCAACTATTTCTCTATGGTGAATCCCTGGAGGAAAGTCGCTGGGTCAGAGGAAATGGCTTTTGCTCTCTCACCCAGGCTGTGGTTTCTGGAGGTGGTCCTGCCTTACAGTTGTGTGTGTGTGTGTGTGTGTGTGTGTTTTAATAAGCATCCCCTCCTCCCTCTCAACCTTTTAAATAAATGGAACATTTCAACAAGAAAAGATGCTGAAACCCTGTTTGCTGCTCAGTCAGATTCCACAATTAGCCTTCTGCAATAGTTTGCTTTATCAGATTTACACGAGTCTGTCCGTCAAGACGTCTTCATTTTGGACTCGTTTCAGAGAAAGTCACAAACCTCAGGATCCTTTACCGCCTACGCCTAGGATGGCTCTTATTTATTTCTGCTTGTTTTATTTCCCGCGGACTGTGTGGGCACAGCTCCGCCTTGCTCCTCAGACTGCTGTCTGCCAGGGGCAGGTCCTCTTCTGAGGCCTCAGGTGACCTCAGACTACACACGTAGCGTGTTGAGCCCTCTTTTGTTTTAGAGGCAGATGCTGTGTAGCACCTAGCATTGCCCAGCAGAGTGGGAGCCAGATTAACAGGGCTGGTTTTGTTACTACATTTACTATGTCTGTCTGGCGGTACGTTGAGTTGTTGAAGGCACTGTTTTATACAATCTCTAAGAGGTGCTGGCTTTGTTTTCGTGTGGATGTCTCTCTCCGCCTTGTGTTTTGAGTCAGGGTCTCTCGCTGAGCCTGGAACTCACTGATCAGCTGGGTGGGTTGGCCAGTGAGCTCCGAGGATTGGCTTGGCTCACCTTACCCCGTAGCCGCGGTTATACTTGCTACCGCTGTGCGGCTTTTATGTGGGTGTTTGGGGGATCAGGACCCTGGGGGGGGAAACAGGCACTATACCAACCGAGCCATCTCCCCCAGCCTTCCTATGCTTTGCGGCGGTGGCGGTGGCGGATGATTTCTCACACACACACACACTATTTGTACCCTTTGCTTGATCTCTAGCATACGCTTAGTCATATGCTGCGGATTTCTGTTTTTATTTTTATTTTTTTCATGAACTTGTAGGGAGAAACGTACCACAAGCAACTGCAGAAACTGCGGTGTGCAGAGAACCCTCTATACCGTGCCGGTCAATTTTCTGTTGCCGGGACAAAACAGCTGAGGTGACTGAGGGTGGAAGAAAGGTTGGCTTCCCACGCAGCCTTTCAGGGCTTTCCGCCGTGGTCACTCACCTCCGTCCTTTGGGGTCTGTAAGGACACAGTATGTCACCGTGCAAGCTTGCGGTAGAGGGAACCGCTCACCTCAGGGTGGCCCTGGAGGCAAGCAGAGAGAAGGAAGGTGCTGGAAGTCCATTGCCCCCTTCAGGGTCTCGATCGACTTCTGTGCACTTACGCCCGTCTCCTAAAAGATGTGGTCACTGCTCCATAGCGGCTCAGGGGACAACAACTGTGCCAGAACCCAGGCCTTGAGAGCGCATCTAAGAACCAGAATACAGCAGCGAGTGTGCTTAGACACGAACTGCAGCGGGACCTCAGAAAGGGCAGCCATCCTGCTGCGTGGTTCGCAGACCGTGAGCATCTTCCCTTGGACCTCCGGCTGGAGCTGTACCCCAAGCAAGAGCAGTCAGCTCCTCCCGGGAGACCCCGAGCGTGAGGACGGGCATTAGAGAGGGAAGGCACGCTGAGCCGATTGCAGGCCCCTATGTGGATGTGTTTTAGGTCAAATGACAGACCATACTTTTATTGTGTCTTAACGTGTGATCGCTGTAATTTCATGGCAGGAGGCTCTGAAACCAGCTTGGTCCCCAAGTATAGTAGCTATCACGTATCATTGATGTCCCAAGAAGCAGGGGAGACGGACTTTCTCTGGGGCTCTCCCACAGACTCACCCCCTGCTATTGCTGTCCCAGCCTCTTCCCTCACCACCTCCTGATGTCTCTGAGAGCGGCTGGGCACCGGGCGGCAGTGAGAGTGGCAGTGGTCATTTGAAAAGGCGCGTGCTTCGTTTTCAGACCAGATTGCCATTATCAACCTAGAGAGTTTCTGTGGGTCCTGAAACAGACGTGGCCCAGTAGGTGGGGTACCTGTTTATGACATAGCATTGGGGTACAGCGATAGCTAGTCCAGAATCTTAAATGGCGTTTGAGACTGAGTCTGCAGCTCTAAAGGATGTGTTTGTTATTTGGAAGGCAGGGGGAACTCACCGGAATGCGCCCAGGACTTTGATCTGGGTCCCCTTAGAAAAGGCTGACGCTTAGGGGTGCCCTGTGCTCACAGGAGGCCTCGTCGGAGTGGCCTGTGATGTATGTGTGAGGGTGAAGAGTCCCAGGGACCCTTCCCTCTGCCTTCTGAAGAGCCTTTGGGGATAAACACAGACTACATAGGAGAGCAAGAATAGGAATTTATTGTGAAAGAGAAAAATTCACAGGAATATGATAAGTCAAAAATCCAGAAACATCTGCTCCAGTTTGGAGGGAGGGGGACTGCGGGTGTGGGAAATCCGAGGGTTTAAAGGTGGTTTTGGGGAGAACACAGTGGGCTTGGAGAACAGGAGTGGCAGAGGACAGATATACGGGAGCGACAAAGGCTTGCACATGGTTCTCTCTGGAGTATTGAGTGGGACACGGAGCGTGAGAAACATGTGTGTCCAGGTACGTCGACACACCGTTCTCTCAGCCTGCCGTGAGCTCAGTCGGTGGAAGCCCTGGGGCGTGACCAGAGGTGACTGTTTTCTTCTTTGGGTTCCAGACTTCAAACCCACACAAAGGGCACCAGGGGGAAGCCTCCTCAGCTAACATACCAAGATGGTGCATTTGGGTGGTGACAGTTCCTGGGCCCCCTTAGCATCTGGTCTCCTTCTCCCAGATGTCTATCAATGTGGGGTGAAGCTGACAAGTTGTGGAATTTGTAGCTCATATCGCTGTAGCAACCTCTTCCTCATTAGTTCACTGTGGTTAATCCCTGCAGGCAAAGGGGTGGCGGGGGGGGAGAGGGGAAAGGGATAGAGGGGTGAGGAAGAGAGGGAAGGAGAGAGAGACAAAGACAAAGAAAAAGAGACAGACACTCACACTGACACTCACACACACACACACACACAGAATATATGAATGAATGTATATGTATGAATCTCTAGGCCAGGCTGCAGAGTGGGGGATCCTGAGAGCCTGGCGATGAACATGAATAATCGTAGCCACCAGGGAGGTTAACGGGGGTATTGTTGACTGGCTGCAGCAAGGGTACACACCTGTAGTCACCGTGGTAAATGAAGCAGACGGTGTGGGCAGATAAATCATGGGGGACTGAGGTGGGGTGGCAGAGGAGTACCCCCTTCAACTTGGGGGCGGGGTTACGGTGGAAGCGTTTGGGTGACTTGAGGCAAGCTTCTGCACAGACCCCGGAGTTGAGGATCTCCACGCGGTATCTGGTGCTCTTCAAGCAAGCTGGTGTTGCTGGAGACAGTTAGGAGACTAGAACCAGCAGAGCCTGACTGCGTGCCCTGCGAAGGGGCTGGGTGGGGCTTTGCTCAGCAGTACTCAGAGGTCGGGGCGTGCCTGCAGACGGGGAGGGTGAGCGTCTACCTGTGGAACAGCTGTAGAGTTGGTCTCCCTGGGTTAGAAGGACCACCTTGCTATAGAGAGACTGGAGAGGTTGAGGGGTACAACCTTCCTAATTTGGGGAGGGGGCAGTTGGGAAATCGAGGTGGAGAAGAGTGGTTGGCTAGAGGAGCAGAAAATGAGGACGCAGGAACTAAATATGCCCAGGGTCCTACTTTTCCTGCTCGTAACTCTGCTCATATTGTGGCCACTGAGGGAGGGTTCTCCTGACCTTTGCCCCAAACTTTGCCACACAGGTCTGGCTCCGAATTTCTCTTCTCACACGTGCTTTTGTTTTGTATTGTTCATAAATTTGTTTTATTTCCCCTAGTAAAGGGAAGCTCTTAAAAGGCATCAGACTATTTGGGGGAGTGTGTGTGTGCAGTGCAGTTTTAGATATTTAAGATTATTTATTCCAGCTACCTCAGGTTGTCTTCCAAGAGAGGAAGTAAAAGCACACATGTCAAGCGGAAGGTATCCTTCACCCAAAGGGATACATTGGTGACCCGTGAGCCTAAAGAGAATTTAGAAATCAGACACACATCGAAATTACAAGCAAAAAATGAAGAAGATGGGGATTTCGGGTGTCGAGACTAGCTTTTTTAATCTTTGAGATCCGAAAACAACTTAGCCAGTTAAGCAGGGAATCCGCCACCCAGAGCTCATGTCTGTGATTATGTCCACAGGTCCAGAGCCCGGCACCCAGTGTGAGCTGTCACCGATCAATGCCTCTCATCCCGTCCAGGCCTTGATGGAGAGCTTCACCGTTCTGTCTGGCTGTGCCAGCAGAGGCACAGCTGGGCTGCCGCAGGAGGTCCATGTCCTAAACCTCCGCACTGCAGACCAGGGAGCAGGCCAGCCGCAGAGGGAGGTAAGTGCGGGGTGGTTGAAAGTGTCTTCTTTGCTTCCGTCTTGGGTTCTGGGGAATCAGAACTCTCAAGCCTTTCCATGAAAGTAATCCTACCTGCCGTGCCATCTTCGTTGGCCCCATGTACCTACGACTTCAAACTGTGTTTCCATCCCTAGACATGGCCCTCCTTTCCCCTTGCCTTGCTTCGTCTTAGGGACGAGTTGCTCCTGAAAGATGAGTCAGGGAAAACTCCAGAACAGAGGGGTCAGGACCCCGAGGGCAGTTCCTCATTGTGGCTGAGGTATCTTCTCCAAGATGGCGGTCTTGGCGGTGATGGGTAAGATAGCGTAGCAAGTTCATGACTATTCAGTGTTTGCTCTGGGCTTAGCGCTGTTGAAGACCGTGCTGCACACTGGCTTGGGGGTCCCTTTGTCACGTTCATTTTGCAGGTCAGGAAACAGGTGTGAGGACATGAGTTTCGGGGTGAATGACCCCTTCCTTCCCCGTGATAGCTTAGAACGTGGATGAGTGGTCTCCTTGTAACTTTTAACAGGATGGATATTTTTTCCCCACAAAAATAACACACAGCTATCATTCTTTCTGTTTTTTTAGTTTATGTGTCAGCAGTGTTATCAGGCAAGGATTATCTCTCTAGGGAAGAAAAAAAAACAATCACAGTAATTCCTAATGAAGCTGGAGTTTAGGAAGATGACTGAAAAATGGAATTTTCCTTTCAGCTTTCTCTTGGTCAGAAAAGTGAGTTTCCACGGGCATTTGTCGGTGTGCCTTCTGGGCTCTGTGGGGGTAGCGCAGGCGCAGAGCCTCCCCTAGGAAAAACAGAACCGACTCCTTGCCTTCTGGGGTCTGGGGGACAGAGGGGTAGCGCAGGCGTGGAGTTCCACCAGGAAAAACAGAGCTGACTTAATCTGATGAAAGTGTGCAGGGTTGGCTCATTTCAAAGTCGGGGCATCCAGCCCTTTCCAGCTCCGGTGGAAATTATTGTCAACCCTCTTGGTGGCTTGCCATTGTGGCTGTAGCACATTTTTCAGGTCAGATTTCTTTATCCCAGTAATATGTCTTTAATTCTCAACGTACGTGGGAGAGTTTGTGGTGGGAGTGAAGCAGGGTGTGTGTGGGGGGGGAGAAATACAGCCCCTGTGCGGCATTGCTGACTCCAGCAGTTCCTCAGAGAAGCAATTACTCATTTTATATATGCTCCTCTCAGGAGGGACCGAGGAGGAAAAAGAAAGTCCGGGCTTGCTGCAGGAACGTCAACAACCAAACATTCTTAGTGTTAAATTGTGCAGTACTGCTGCGGACTCTGAGAATGGGTTTCATGAGATTGCCACGGCAGACGGGAAACGGACTTCAGGGAGGGACATTCCAGGACATGGCAGTGTAGGGGGGGTGTGGGTAGCTAGGGGCCTGGCTCGGCCAGTGAGAGGGGCTCTACTGGGCAGCCCCAACACGATGCCCCGGCCTGGTCTGTGTAGTCAGTGCATGTACTTAAGAGGCCTTTCTGCCACTAGGCCTCTGAGGTTGGAAATTGCACTATTGCCTTCCTTGGAGACCCCAAGGGTTAGGTGGCTGTAGTTCAAGCCTCCTTGCGGACGTGATGTTAGGAACCTCGGGCACACCATCTGGGCTCTGCAGAGCCGACATGTAGTAGACCTTGGAGTCCTTTTACATGCACACGGGAGAACTGAGGATGTCGCCAGGCAGAAGGGGGAGGAGGTTGCTGATTGGCAAGGGTTAGGCTGGAGAAGTGCTAAACTCTCCTCCCTACCTCATGGATGGCTGGAGACAATGTTCCTGCCTGTGGGGATGGTTTTGAAGTAGGGTTACCCAGTCCATGCCTTAGCAGTTCTGCTCCGGGAGATACACACAACCGAAGTGGTGCCTGTAAAAAAAAATCTCCAGTGCTACTCGTAACACTTAAAATTCAGAAACATCTTGAATGGCCATCATCTGAGGAGTGAGTGGGTTAAATGTGGTATATCGGTGCACCGGAAGGTTATTGGACAATAAAAGACACACACACACACACACAGAGTTATGGGTGCACCCCCACAGGGCCGATGAAACTTAAAGCACTATGCTAAAAAAAAATGAGACAGACACACACCCAACTGTGCACGATATAACTGCGTTTAAATGAAGCGCACAGAGCACACAGATACAGAGAGGCAAAAAGTTAAACGAGTGTTTGCTTAGGGCCCCATGGGAAAAGAGGTGTGGGCTGACCACTGTCTGTACTGTGGGCCAGTAGGGGCGGAGGATAAAAACATTCTAAGATTAAGCCGAGGTGATGGTTGCACAGCCTGGCAACTATACTAAACTATACTAAAAATTGTCGGGTTATGATTCAAATTTGGCGGTACATGAATTCTATCTCTTTTTTTTTTAAGTTCTTTGACTTCACAGTTGTTCTAGTTAGCTCATGAAGTCAACTTTGACCAATTCCACACACCTCTTTTTTTAAGGATCAGAATTGCTTCATCTTTCAACCTAAATTCCATTCCTTTCCTTGTCCTGTTGTTACTCTCACTGGATAGCTTGATTTTTGTAGCCATGGCTTGGCTTGGGCTATGTGAACTGTAATGGCAGTCCTGTTTGGATGCCCTGTGTAGGAAGGACCAGAGGTAGGTAGACTTCGTGTAAAGTCTACACCAAACATTTAAGTCAAGTATTTTTCAAGTTTAAAAAAAAAAGGAAAAAAAAAGACATGCCTTTGCTTACAAACTAGTCAAAGAATTGCTGCCGTGCCCCACGCCCATCTGAGCGAATCTTGTCTACGGCCGTTCTTCCCTCTGAGAAAAATCTGGCCGTCCATGGCCGTGCTTTCCTGATGTTACTCTTGAGGGGATTATGAAGCCAACCCTATTTGCCATCAGCTTATTAGGGGGTGCAGGGCCAGCGCCAGGGCTACCCCTTCTCTAACATTTGACCAAGCCCCTACCTTCCTGGAGGTCCTTCCTGTGCTTCGTCTGAGGCCAGGTGTCCTGTTCTCCTCAGAAGCAGTGGTGACAAGAGTCTCTGTCCCTGGAAGCGGTCAGCTGCAGGCCGACAGGATTGGAGGCATAACAGCCCTTGTTTTATGCCCAGGTTGGGTAAACAGCCCCAGGGGCCCAAGGGGAACAGTGCCTGCTGCAATCTGCAGGGCTGTCCTGTCTCCACAGAGGCCGTTGCTCTCACTGGTTCTCTGCTGGCATGAGAGTGGGGAAGCTAGGTCTAGAATTAGGTTTGTTTTTGTTTTTATTTTTTCAATCTGGGACCATACCTCTCAGGTGTAATCACAGGCTTTGGGAAATAGCAGCCTGGATAGAAGTGGACAGGAAACTGACCAAAAGGGAGGGGTGAGGCCCAAGGCCCCGAGATAGCAGATTGTTTAGTCACTGAGTATGTGCTACCACTTTCTTTGCTTTGATTAAAAGCATGGTCATTATCAGCCATCGTCACCTGTATGTGGGCCGGCCGAGGTGGGTGTTGAGGCATAGTAGCATCTTACCCCTCCTCCTTCAGTGAGGGGACCAATCATCTTACCCTGCCGCCTTCAGTGAGGGGCCACATGTTCCTGGAAGCCAGAGGAGAAGTGTAGAGTCAGTTCCCATCTTCCATCTTCGCCGACAGCGAAGGAGAGACTGTGCTTTTTCTGGGGGGGAGGTGACTGAACTCCTACCTCCTAGTGTTGTGATCACACGCGTGTAGTGTACTAGAGTGTCGTGATCACACGCGTGTACCACCGCGTTCCGCGTATGTGCTTCTGGTTCTGGGGTTTGAATCCAGGGCTTCATGGATTCTTCCCAGGCACTCTGACTCAGCCCACAAAGGACTGCCTGTCAGTGGGTATCTGCCAGGCTGCTGGGCTAGAGTGAGGATCAGAGTCTTCAACGCTGTGAGCAAGGGGACCAGGTTTAAAATCTCCACCTGTCAGAAAGCCCATCACCCCTCATAGTCTGACATATCTGCCTCATTCCAAAGGAGGATTTGTGGGGAGCTCCCAACAGCAGCCACATCAACTTTGAAAGCAGACAGATGCTCAAAGTGCGGAGAGAAGTTTGCTGACTACGTGGGTTCCCGTGCTTGCTATGATGGAGGTCATGTTAATCACACACATGGCTCTACGCTGTATGTCAACCGTGCCTTCCTTGGCTCTTCTGTGGGCAAGAGAAAGGGGAAGAAGGAAAGACCCTAAGATATGTTGCTGGCATTTGAACAGCTTCCTTATCCCCAGACAATGGTAACGGCAGCTCTGTGGTACCAGCCGCAGTGAGTGTCCCTTGCCAGACACACACAGACACCCTGGGCAGCCTGAAAGGGAGGCTTGGCTGTCTGTTTTAGTGGCGGTTTTCGTCTGGGCTTTTGGAGGTCATGCAACCAGTGGGTGGGTGGGTGGGTCCTGCTGCCTCTGAGCAGTGTCTGGTCGTCTTTAAGCTCTCTACCTGCTTTAAATGGCCTCTCATAAACTCTCACTTTTATCCCAGACCAAGTGAGCTCTGCCAGTTAATCAGAGGAGGTGACTCTCCCAGGGAGGTGCTCAAGCGTGTCACAGGAGGTCCCTGTTCTTGGGTTGTTGTCACTACTGTTCTGATTCCCTCGGGGTTTCACAGTGGCATGGCGGTTGGTCTCCCGTGTGGCAGGATCTCTTCTTTTGTGTGCGTTAGGATTCGCAGAGCAAATGCCAGCAGTTATAAAACACAGGGCTCAACCTCAGCAGCCGTTGCTGGGCTCACACGGAACACCCCTGCCGAGGGGCTTTCGTCTTGTTTCCAGCCACCCGTCCCTCCTGGAAGCTTTCTGTGGCTTTCATTAACATCACTAGATGCCACCTGAGAGCTGGTGCGTCTCGCAACTACGTCTGTTTGGGGGGAGCTGGCAAATTAAGAGACTCCCCCCCACGGTGAAGTAAGACCCATTCTGATTTTACATCTTTTGGATTGCTCCATGTAACCACCTGCTGCTGGAATATCTTGCCCCTTCTTATTCACCTGCCTGCCTGCCTGCCTGTCAGTCAGTCTGTC